AATTGATAAATACATCTTAAATCTGGTCCTTTGGAAAGACAATCTTGATTCTGATGAGCTAAAGAGAGAAAACAAAAGTAGACAAATTGGGAATGTGATATAGGAGAAATTAAAATAATTACAAGAAAACTATGTGCAATTCTATAGCACAAATTTGACCTTTGGGAACCTGCAAAGGTAACAATGAGCTGTTACTGTTTACTTACATCTGAGGGAGCTGAGGTGCTTCAGGCAGGGCAAGGAAGAAAGAAGCAAGACAGCTTGTGATGCAGAACTGGGAAAATGGTCAGGGAGTGGAGGCATGAACTGCTCCAGAAGAAGGTGGTGAGGGAGGAGTGAGCCAAAAACAGCTTCAAACAGCAACGAGGAGTGATTGAATCCGCAGAATCTCTGCTCCAAACAGTCGAGAGAGCTATTCTCATAAGAACCGTAGCCACGTGGAAAAGAAAGCAGGGCTTTCTTAATCTGACCAAGCATGTGCTGACTCTAAATGTGGGCAAGGGATTCTAAAATGGGAGGCTTAGCCTGAGACCTCAAATGAGACCTCTTTCTTCCTGAATCTCTACCCGTTTCAACCTAAATCCAGGGGTGGTATCTTAAATCATTCTGATTTTAGCAAGAGCCGATCTGACCCGTGTCAGAGGACAAGAGGACAAAATTGAGCATGTTTTCCCTTAGTACCTAAGCCACTTTATCAGGGCAGAATCCTCGGCTCAAATACACTCCAGGAGGAGAGGCAACAAAAGTGATGGCCAGACTTCTTCCCGCTCTGGCCAACTTATCCATAAAACAAGAGGCGAAAGGAGGTAGGAAAATGCCCCACATGCAGGCATGCGGAAATAGGCAAGAGGATCCTGCCTGGAAAGGCTGGCCCTTGGGGAAGCTGCAGGAGACCGTGAGGGAGCCATTGCACAATGTGGCAGAAGAACCTGGCAAAGGAGTAATCTTTCATTTGATTAATGAGTAAATGAGGCCCATTGAGGTAAAGTTATTGTCTCCATGATATACATGATCAGTCAGGGACCAGAACCAGTCTTATTGCCTTGCTGGCTGGTATTTTTTCCGGTGTTATGGTGCACTCATTTCTCTCTGCCCAGTGGCTATGCTGAACTCTGGGTTCAGACCTGGAGTTCCAGTCCTGGTCCACCACTAAGAGGCTGTGAGGTGTTGGGCAAGTTTCTGAACCCGTTTGTGTCCCAGTTTCCTCATATATCAAGTAGGGATAATGGTTTCTAGGGCTTTTGTGATAATTGACTGAGAAAATGGGTAAACTACTGAAAAACAGTGCCAGCCACATGCTAAGAGCTCAATAGATGTTAGCTATATATTTTTTTTAAAAAAGAGAACATAGATTTCTATTGTTTTCAAGACTTTGATGCCATTTGTTATTTAGTAAGTAGTGTAGTTGAAAATATGAAAACTAAAATTTAAATTCATTCTACTTGTTAAATTCATTCAAATTGAATAGACCTTGATAATGCAGTCAACTTGTATGTTCTGATTGTGAATATTTTATCCTTTGGAGTATCCTTCATTTGTAGTAAATACTGCTTTTGGAGCAAAGTTCTTCCAGAATAAAATGCTTACTACTTGAGGATTGTTCTTGTCGGCATTTTACATAATGTCTAATGGGATATATGAGGATTTCATATTATAAAGAACAATTGAAAGATGTTCTTCTGTAAAGACCACTGAGTAATACTGAAATAGCACTTTATGTGCTCCTTGCCTGGGTGCCATGCTGATCGCCTGCCATGTGCCCTGCTGCCCCAGCTTCATTCAGACTTCAGTTTTAATGCATACTGAGTTCAGATACAGAATATTGGATCTGATTTGCTCTTTGCATGCAGTTTGTTTAGATGTCTGCTGATTTTGCCTTTGACAAATTTAAATAAATAAAATTGATGTTTTTGTAGGATTTACTTTACACTCTTGTGCAGTGGGCTGGTGTTAAAACACAATAGCTTTTAAATTGAACTGCTTACAGAGTGATCTGTAAAATCTTTCTAGATGTCTTTCTATAACTGCTGTGGTCAGCTAGGAATCATTTGTTTTTGCAGGCAAGTTAATGGGTTAAAATGGCAGTGGAAACTGCCTTCTGGGTAGAAGGTTTAAAAAGTGCACTTAACCACTCACTCAGGGCACTTAGAATAAAGAATCAGGCAAAGTCATTTACAATCCAGATTGTCTTTGAAAATAGTGAAAAGCAGAGGTTCATAATGAAAGTATTATATCATATGCCCACATGTGTATTATTAGGTTGGCTTGAGTTCACTGTTCCTATTTATTCTGTAGTTGAAAAGACCATGGAGCACAAAAAGTGACTAATTTTCTTACTTGCTCTTTTTTCAGTTGCTTCAAATCTTTGAAAGTAGTGGCCGTGGATGCATAGTATCAGTGATATACAAATGAGAGTTCTATAATTTAATTGGGAGAGAAAGGGTGGGCTAGAATCTGAAGATCTTATGATACATATTCCAGCCAAATGCATGAAAACATTAGGTTTGTCAGTTTCCTAAGCTTTTTAATAAAGTACCATCACCAAAAGTTTGGTATAAATATATTTAGATTGATACTATTTCTTGTTATGGAGAGGTTTTCTAAGTTTTTTAAATATTTTACTTGGAAATTTTATTACCTCAGTTCTAGAACTTCTGAATATTATCCAACACACCCACCACCTTGAGATTTTCACTGTGAGCATTAGAATGTATTGATTTTTAATCTTTTTCAAAGAGTTATATTTTAAACGTATGCGTTATGAATGTTTAGAGTGTTTAAATACTATTATTTTAAACACTTTGGGTATATTAATGAATAGGAACTTAAACTTTTTGGGATTGTCTTTTTAATTGCAAAAAAGAATTATAAGTGTGTTACTGGAAGAAAATTACTTAAAGTGAGGTAATATATTGTAGTATGTCATAGAATTCTAATTTTTATACTAGCAATATATAATAAAGTATTTAAGAAAAATAAATCTAGCATAACTGGAATCTGAAGTTGCCCATATATTCTTATTTAGAGGTATCTTTCGTTACGGCAGGCAACTTGAATTGCTTCATACTGGAAAATTTAATGTACCACTCAATTATTGTGCTTTAGCCCAATTTAAAATAATAGATTGGGAGTAAGGTCTTAATGCACTGTAACCTTTGGAACATTAGGTATAACCTCTTTCTTTCCAGAAATCAGTATATAGTAAGGATATCAAGGTTTTTCTGTTTGTTTTTTTGAGGAAGATTAGCCCTGAGCTAACTACTGCCAGTCCTCCTCTTTTTTGCTGAGGAAGCCTGGCCCTGAGCTAACATCCGTGCTCACCTTCCTCTACTTTGTATGTGGGAAGCCTACCACAGCATGGCGTGCCAAGTGGTGCCATGTCCACACCCGGGATTTGAACCGGTGAACCCCAGGCCCGAGAGGCGGGAATGTGCGAACTTAACCACTGCGCCACCAGGCCAGCCCCAGGATATCAGTTTTAGCATACTGCATGAATAGATTTGTAATAGCGTTTAGTACTAATTGCATAAGTATACTGATTTCTTCTCTCTTACTAAACTCATTGTAATATTAATTTAAAGATGATGCTGTTATCATGATATTTGAAAATGTATACTTTAATTTTAAAGCTTTTTTGATGACCTGATTCTGGTGAAAGCTCCAACTTAGGAGTATCTTAATAATTTTATATTATTTCATAAAATGGGTGTTTTGAAGGAATTTGAGATGGTGGGTTTTGTGATAAACTTTTAGCTGTGCAAAAGTCCTATTGTCTTTTTTTTCTTTAACAGTGATACTATGTACAGCTGTGAAACTATAATGAAAATATTAGGACTGTATTTGAGGAATTGGAAAAGAATTTCATGAAAAGAATATTGTCTCTTCTTGTGATGCTACCTCTTAATGATAGTCATTGGCTTTTTCATTTATTATGAAAAGAAAATTTTCTATACTAGGTGAAAATGTCCACAGAAACTAATTTACATACCTCTTCAAATTCCTTTTGGAATAGGGGAGGATACAGATAAACCAATAGTAATACAGCTAATTTGCATACTCTAAAATGTTGGTGTTAATGGTGTTGATGGAAGGTTTCCAATTTGTAGCAAAGCAGTTATTTTTAAGAAACAAATTATATTGAAATGTACTTTTTAAAAAAAGTATATAATGACAAATGCAGTATTGGACAGATCTAACTTATCTTTATTTCTTTTGTTGATGGCCAAATAATAGACTAAGATGCATGATGTTAATAAGCAAGTCCTGATGGTCTTGTCAGTTTTATATGTTTCCAACACTGTAGATGCAAATACATAGAGGACAGTTTTGATTTGGAATCATAATCTTGAATGGATCTATTCCTTTTTCTTTATTATCCATGGATTCTCAAAACGTGGTTTACAGACCACCTGTCTCAGGAATCAACTGTGATGCTTCCTATAGCCTGGATTCCTGGGCCCCACCACAGAGCTACTGTCTTGGAGCTGATACCAAAACCCTACAGTTTTAGTAAGAACCCTAGATGATTTTTATGGACATCGAGGTTTGTGAACCAGTGCCCTAGAGCAGGGCTCGGCAAACTTCTGTAAATTGCTAGATAGTAAATATTTTCAGCCTTGTGGTCTTTGTTGTAACTACTCATCTCTGCTGTTACAGCGTAAAAGCAGCAGGAGTAATTAATACACAAACAAATGTGTGTGGCCAGCCAGATTTGGCCCGCAGATTTGCAGATCTCTGATAGAGTCAAGATTCTAGACCAATAGTTCTACCTTTATGAAGCTGTTCTAAGGTATTATCTCTGAAGTCAGTTTTGATGAGATTTTTTGTGTGTTTATTTTTTGATAACTGAAGAAAATCTGTAAATATAAGAGGACTTCCTGGATATACATTAAATGAATTAATAGATGTAAAACCTTTATAAATTTAAAGGCTTTTCTGTGTTAATATTAAGAAGAGTGTGATTATCTTATTGGTAACTATGTAATCTGCTTTTAATATAGGTTCCTGTGGCTAGAGCAAGTATTCTTTGGCTAATTGGAGAGAACTGTGAACGAGTTCCTAAAATTGCCCCTGATGTTTTGAGGAAGATGGCTAAAAGCTTCACTAGTGAAGATGACCTGGTCAAACTGCAGATTTTAAATCTGGGAGCAAAGTTGTATTTAACCAACTCCAAACAGGTAAGAGACTAATCTTCAGTGTACCTCTGTGATCTCTGCTTTCCTCTTTGCTCTGGTCAAGCAGCTGTGGCCTCTTCATGCATTAGGGGTGCAAGGAGATGCCATTCTAGTCTGGCAGGGGAGAAAAACAGTTAAAAAATGAAATAGTATATGTTAAGTGCTGTAATAGAAGTACTGAGATATAGTGGAACTCCGGAGGAAAGAATTATTGAAAGTCTGAAGTAGAAGGAGGTGAGAGATCAGAGAAAGTTTCATAAAGGATAAGACTCTTGACTAAGGGCTTGGAAGGAGTGGGATGCTATATAGAATAAGGAAAGAGGAGAGCAGAGGGTCAGTCATGAAACAGCTCGGTGGTCAAGAAATTTAAAGCTGAGTCTGCAAAGGTAGGCAAGGCCAGGACCTGGAGTGGCAGGTGCTATGGACCTTGTTCTCCAGGTGAAGGGAAACAGTTAAATATTTTTTAGCGGTTGTGTAATTTACCAGATTGCAGTTTAGAATATTCGTTTTTTAAGTCAGTTGACTCTTCGAGGAACCGTTGGTAAGAGGAATCACCTCTGTGTGTGAGGTACGTAGAATCACCTCCATGTATAAAATACGGGCTTGCCCATCCTTCTTCCTGGATCTGAATTGCTCTTCTCCACGAGTGGAGCACTCACCCTGATCAGTGAGACTGGCGAAGCTTCTTGCTCATTTGCAGCCGGGCCTCTTAGTAGGCTTTATGGTCTGTGTCCTGTGTCTGTCTCTCTCTAATTTTTCCTTTCTCTCTGACTCTCACTTTGCCTCTGTGGATGTTTTTTCTCTGTTTCCCTCTCTCTGTCTCTGTTTTTGTCTCCCTCCTCCCCAAAATTCTCTCTGCCTAGTATCTTTCTAACATCCTTCACCCCTTCTCTCTCTCTGTCTGTCTCTCACACACACACCACCACCAGAGTCTGATGTGTGTGTCTGTCATTCTCTCCTTCCTCTCCCATCAGTGTTCGTCTCTCTCTTTTTGTATTTACTGTATGTCTCTCTCTGTGTCTTTCTTTTTGCCTTCTCTGCCTACCCATAGGACACTCATTCTCTAGTGAGCTGATATTGGCCATTCACAATCTTCAGGCTGACTCCTCAGATTCACTTCTGTATGGTTGGGGATTGTCTTCATCCCTAATTGTGACATGAGTTGTATTATTGTAACTTTTGCTGATTGGTGTACAAAATGTACCAAATAATTGTGAATATCTTGAGCGTATTTCTATATTTAGATTTTATCTTTACATTTTAAGTCAGTCTTTGAAAGGAATCAGTTAATCATTTTCAAGTGTCATATAGATTTCTTAACGTGATGAGTTATTTTGTAAAAACTCAGTGAAAGAAAGGGAACCTGTTTGCTGTTGAGTTTATTTTTTGATAAAAACTGTTATAGCCTCACACTCCCTGTGTTCACTAAATCCATGTGTTATTACGAAAGTCAGTATAACACCTAGAATATTATGATTGTTATGACTTCCTGTCTGGTTTGGCCACTGTAAATCTATCTTATAGATTATTAAAAAGAAAACTAATACAAAATTAATGTGTTAATCAAGACTGAAAGAGTTACGTCTTACAAAGCTAAGTGAAAGCTCTACTTTGGCCCTCCTCTTTGTAGCTGTCAGTACCCAGTAATGGAGTGTTGTACTCTGTTCAGAAATTGTAGAATGTAGTCCATGTCTTTTTATCTGGTATATTTGAAGACAACATAGTTTGTGTGTAGATATTTTTTTCTTGAATGGTAGCATTAATTGAAGTTTTGGAACTCAGCTTCTGAAGTATTCTATTTTACATTTTAGAATGATATTTCTAGATAACCACAATAGACTCTGCCATCAGCTGGTGAAAACAGTGATATTTAGAAAATATACCAAATTTTCACATATATTTTTACTAACTAGTTTTTAGATGATTAAATATAAAAACAGATAAATGAAGTTGTCCTGTCGAGCTGTGCTCTGTTCTCCAGTTTCTCATTTCTCAAGAAAAGGGGTTTGAGAGAATTGATAAGTGAAGATTAGCATGAAAGAATGATTTCTAGGGGCTGGCCTGGTGACATGATGGTTAAGGTCATGTGCTCTGTTTTAGCGCCCCAGGGTTCGCTGGTTTGGACCCCGGGTACAGAGCTCCACACCACTTATCAAGCCATGCTGTGGCAGTGTCCCACACACAAAATAGGGGAAAACTGGCACAGATGTTAACTTAGTGAGAATCTTCCTCAAGTGGGAAGAAAAAAGGAAGATTGGCAACAGATATTAGCTCAGGGCCAATCTACCTCACCAAAAAAAAAAAAAAAAAAAAATTTCTAGCACCATTAACTTGACAGCATTTTTAAGTTGTGTGGTTTGTCCCCATTGGATATGAGACAATGATTCCTTTGAGCTAAATGTCAAAAATTGTCTTCTGTACTTATTTATTTTACCATCTTTAAAACTAAACTAGGGAGACTAAGCCAGTGTTCAGGGACTGGTTTGCCATGAAGTCCTGATATTTTTTTGTAGGTCTGACTTCCCTGTGGTCTAGACACTTCAGTGAGCATTTCCAGAATGTTTATTGATTATTTAGTCATAGAAAATGTCTGTGTTGATTTTTGTAAGATTTAGCACATTGTGTTCATTTGTATGCTTGAGGAATAATTGAATAATAAACTTCTTTAATACCTTAAAATGTTTTTACCTGGTATAAAAAAGAGTGAAAAAATTCATCAACAGTCTGCTTTTGGTACGGTCAAGTTTGCTCCTACTGGACTGACTCTCCCATAGAGAACAACTATAATCTCTGGAAAAATACAATAAATAACTACCTGAATTCTCAGAAGAGTAAAGAAAACCAGGAATTGACAGTTGGAAGACGGGAGGGGCACAGAATAAATTTCCCCACTTTTCTGGCTTTTATCCTGATGACAGGCTACAATTTGCACTATGCATGGAGGCTAAAACTCCAAAAGCAAACCCAAAGTCCTTCTGGCCTGAGAAAATAGAGAACGTAGTTCAAGAAAACCACAGATATTGCAAAGTTAGGAAGAATTCTAGAAATGAGAGAACCAGAGTGGAGGAGCCTCAAAATCTGTGAAGAACTCTGCCCAAGTCTCCGGCTGACCCCTGACCCAGACATGCACATAACGGATTCAGAGCAGCACAGCTAAGAATAATGGAGCTGAACTCAAATTTGAGCACCAAAGAGACAGAGTTTGCACTTTGATCCCAGCCAAGTTAATTGCCTGCTAAAACAAACAAACAAAAATCAATACTCTTTTAAAGAGTATAACAATGTCCAGGGTCTCTACAATATAACATTCATAATGTCCAAGATACAATTCAGGATTACTCTACCTAACAAGAACCAGAATGAGAGTCATTGTTTAATGTCTATAGAGTTATACAAATATTTCTGGAGATGTATGGTGGCGATGGTTGCACAACACTGAATATACTTAATGCCACTGAACTGCACACTTAAAAATGGTTAAACTGGTAAGTTTTATGTATATTTTACCATAATAAAAAAGAAGAGGAGGAAAGTATGATCAATTTCAAGAAAAAAAAAAAACAATAGAAATCAACCCTGAGATGACCCAGATATTGGAATTTGCAGGCAAACATTTTGAAGCAGCTTTTATAACTGGTTGGTGATATAAAGGAAAAGATACTCACAATGAAGGAAAAGATAACTCTCAGCAGAGAAATAGAGACTGTAAAAAACAATCAAATGTAAGTTCTAGAACTGAAAAATACAGTACCTGAAAAATCAACATCTTGTCTACTTTAATGTTATGTATTCTCCACATTTTAATGCTGTCATCAAATCCTGTCTTGCCACTTACTAGCTCCATGCTTTTGGACAAATTATATAACCCATCCAAGACTCAGTTTCCTCATCTGTAAAATAGGAATTATGATAATATAGTCAGTTCTTTGTAATACAACAAATATGTTCTAAAAAGTCATTGTGCTTTACAAAATTGCACAGTAAAAACCACAGGGATTATTAGAAAAATGGATCTAGAGGCACAGCACTCAAAAACTTCATTGGTGACACATTAAAACAAAAAAGAGAAAGAACCTAATAAAAACAGGAGCACAATATTACACGTTAAGTGGTTAAGAAATACATACATACTAAAATAAGTATAGCTCTTTACCTTGAAAAAGACCTGAGGTTTGCTGGTGGAAATGGGTGTTGGAAAGGTTGTATTTGTGAGTTAAGTGGTGGAAGGAGAGTTAATCTGCAGTCGGATGGAAAGTTGTACCACCACATGTGGCTGACTGTGGCCCGTTACTTGTGTGGTGACATGAGGCAGATGTTGATGTGGGTGTGTTTGGCTATTCCTATACAACCCAGGTCAGCCTGGTGCAGTTTTCTTGTCTTAGACTGTTATTATATGAGTATGTATCCGTATATAGTGTATGTTATTGTTCTGTGGACTTTGAAATTTTGAATAAGTAGATACTCTATGTATAGTTTTGCAACTTAGTTTTTTCACGTAATACTATGTTTTTAAAATATTGACACATGTAGATATAATTCCTTCCTTTTAATTAACTGTCTCATTTTCTATGAGACTGGCTTCTACTTTTCCACTGTTAGCAAAGAAAGTATTTCATGAGTATCTTTAGTACTTGTATTTTCTTTGTATCATGTTTTAGACTTTCTGATTCTTAGTGACAAGTTTTCTAAATCATACTGATGTTTTGGGAATCCTCCCTGAAGTTAAAAGCAGATTCTGTCTCACCCTGTGATTCGAGACTTTGGAGAAATCTATCCCCGCCTCCAACCCCTTCAATGTGACTTAGCAAACAGGGTTCAGGCTCTGTGAGTGAAACCTCTACCCCTTTCTTGGGTATTTTTCTTGGCATTAAAAACCTCAAGTAAGTATAACATATAGAGGAAGAACTTACAGAAAACTTTTCAAGTTGACAAAAATATGGATACTGTTCAATTCATGAGATTCCCTCCAAGTCACATAAAGAATCCTGTTCAGTGGTGAAGTG